GGGGGGGGGGGGCGGTCATGTGATGTTCAGTGGGCCCAAAGTGATTTTATTTAAATAGAAAATTAATATATTTTGATATTCTTTGGACTTTTACTTTTTTAGCCCATTCCCTATTGAGATTTTTAAATTAAAATCAGAGCTGTGAGGATTTATTTAGCCTTTTTAGTAAGTGCTCTTGGCTGATCAAAGCCTCAGGGTCCTTGTAGACAGAACTTTTATTAATGTACAGTATAACCCGATGTGTGCAGAAGCTTACAACTTTGTTTAATTTTCATCTCTCTGTTTTTCCTCTATCCCCTTTTCCTTCCATTTTCCATTTTCCTTTATTGCCCAGTCCACAAGGACTAGCTGTTGTTGAGGGCAGGCATTTGGAAAGAACATATGAGGGAATGTACTCAGTCTGAGCTGATTAGTCAAGAGTCTTGGAAGTCTAACAGCAGCACTTACACAATTGAATCTCTTTGAAATTGATGTGAAATGGTAACCTCAAATGTTACAAGGCATTTCAGACAAGATTAATTCACTCAAAAATGAAAATTCTGTCATAATTCAGTTCTATTGTATAGCTTAAATATAGAACATAAGTCATGCAGACTTATGGTACTTTATTATTTTTGGTGCTCAACAGACCTCCTCCAACTTAATGGATTTGTAACCACTAGTGATGCTCTGAAATTTCAGCAACCCAAGATATTTGGCCGAAACAGGAAAAAAAAATCGGTTCTATCGTAAACAGTCTTAAAAAAATGTAATTAGCACTTCTCAGATGATGCAGTTTGACTGTCTGTTTTGTGCACATAACGTGGAAAAGTACAGCAGAGTAAACATGTCAGAAGTTTGGACACATTTCAACGTGAGAAAAAAGAAAGCTAAAGTAGCAGAATGTAAAATTTGTTTGAAATATCAAGAGGTGGCTCATTGCCTAAGACTACAACTGCTTTAATTTATCATCTGAGAACATTACACCCTGAAGTTACCCAAATTTATTTACCCAACCTTTATTTTCGTTTTTTGACTACATGACTAATTTAACTTTGTTTTTCTGTATTATTGTTCAAAATAATTTTGGTGCATCACTAGTAACAACATGAGGGTGTGTAAATGTTGACAGAATCATCATTTATTGGGTGAACTGGGTGAGGTCTTTTCAGACAAAGGGATAAAGATATGTCACTAAATGCATGCTTTTGTTGTCATTTTGTTCATTTAACACATTGGTTTACAGTCAAGCAGTGTCAGTCTCTCACTGTGTACTGTTACTGTATTTTAGTTTAGTCCTACGGTCCACTTAAATACAAATCAAAATCAAGGTGCAATGTTTATTTGATTCACTGTTATGTTTGTCCTTGCCTTGTTTTTCATATATTTCTGTTTTGTTTTTTTCATACTTAACTATACACAACAGATTCAAAACTGTTGTTAAATGAAATATGCAAAGTGAGTATTGAATCCGGTATTTTAGTAATATACCTCTATGTCTGGTTGTTTGTCCTCTGCCAAATGGTCTCAAATGAATTTTGTGGAAGCCTCTTCTGAACAACAGTTCATGTATCTGTATTGTTTCATTCTGTCGATGAACATGAGTTTACAACCTGTGCTGTTACGAAACATCTCCTCCTCCAAATGGACATTAAATATGTCAATCAGTTATGTTCTGTACACTTCTTATTCAAAGGGTTGTGAAGATAGAGGTGTTCCTAACCTGTGTTTCCTTTAATAGTTAATTCACATCAGCATTTTCAGGTCTTCAGACACAAAGGGCCAGTGGGACAGACTCATCGCTCAGGACTCGCTCACTACTGAGATCTCACTATCTGATGAAATGCCAAAACAAACCAGCAGCCAGCACAGCGACCCATAATCCTCCAGCTCCGTGTCCATCACGCAGTCCTGCCGCTGCCACTTAGAGCTGATAGTGAGTTGATTGAATGTGATGGAATCATTTTCAAGATTGTTAGAAGCCTACTTCATATGTCACTAATTTCTTTGTGTCTTCCCCTTGTTTTTAGCATTAGTAAAGGGAGAGTTCACCCAAATTACTCACTCACTTCTGTGGAACGCAAAAGGTGATTTTTTTTTTTTTTTAGTTTATCTTGTCTCCAAAACCACAAATTGACCAATAAATAACCAGAAAAGTGGTCTATATGATTTGTGCACTGTTTACCAATTGTTCTAAAGAAATGCAAGTAATTTTTTTAATTTAAAATCTTGACATCGACATTACCTTTTTTTAAATAGAAACTGTTCTTTTGAGTTGAATCGTCTTAATGAATCAGTTCACCAGATTCACAAGACAGGTCTGAATGATTTGTTCATGAATCAGACTGATCCAGTTCTCAAGCTCAGTGACTCAGTTATACAGCAGTTACCAACTCACTGAAGGAGAAGGTAATTGGTGAAAAATTATTTAAAGGGATAGTTCATCAAAAAAAAGAAAATTCTGTCATTTAATCGCCTTCATGTCATTTCTAGTGTATATCTTTCTTCTGTAAAACAAAGAAGAACATACCCCCTCCATAAAACTGCAGTCGGTTTGGTCACCAACTTTTCTCAAAATGTCTTTTTTGTTCAGCAGATGAAAGTACGGTAAGTCATGGTTGGGAATGACATGAGGATGAGTAAATGTTGGCATTTTTATTTTCATGCGAGTTGTGCCTTTAAATTTTGTTCCGTTTCTCTCAGACTTGCATTATAGAGCAAAGATCATATGGACCCTTTTTATGCTTTTATTATGCTTTTGTGTCCTTTTTGAAGTGTAACATTCAGTGCCCATTTATTTAAATTGGAAAAAGAGCAAACAGTACTTTAAATCGAAATTTGGATTTTTTTTTTGTTTTTTATGGATTTGTAACGACAAGTAAGGTGAGTAAATGTTGACTGAATTTAACTACTCCTTTCAACATACACGTTTTTTTTTGTTTGTTTTTTTTCCCTAAATTAAGAATAAAAGCAAGAACAAGAAAAAAATGGACTTGGAACAAGGAACGAGCGCAAAATGTCATTGTTAAAACATGCTTGAGCACGTCATTACTCTCTTTTCCATCCATTTCTCCCTCACTTTTCCTTTAAACTGTCAATCACAGGAAGTGTGTCACAGGACTGCTGATCTGGTGAAGCGTGGGAATGTTGAGATGTTGTTATACTGTTGTAATAATAATAAGGATGTGTTTGTGTGTGTCAGGTAGAAACCATTATACCAACCTCCTCTGATTACCATCTTTGTCGCAACAGGCCTGTCAGAAAGCCAGTGCCACTTACAGCAAGGACAGAGCTCAGCAGGTTTGGCAGGAGTAAAATGAGGAAATGAGAGAGCGAGTCGGGCCGGTGGGGGAAAAGACAGACCGTCTACTTTAAACTTAATCAGCACTGGTGCCGCCGCGCCTTAGCACTTGTCTGTCTGAGGCTGTAACCATTGTGTTGAAAACATTTTGATGCCTTGCTCACTTAGCACACCTCCTGATCTCTTTGAGTCAGATCCTGGGGTGAAAAGTCCAGCTGCCCCTCTTAGTTTTTCTCTGTTCTCTATTCATTTCGTCTTTATGGAGATTAATTTAGTTACATTCATTTTTGTTTGTTTTCTCCATGTGTCGGAGTTTCTCGGGATTCTCTCAGAGTTCCCAGGGCTCTTGTGATGGTGCCATACTTGGCTTTTCGTTCTTAGTTAAACCGTGCGAACGGTGTGGATGAATGATGGTCTGTTTCATTAGGAAAGGTTGTGTGTAAAATTTAAGCGAGACGCTCTCAGGAGGAGGGAGGAATGAGCGTCTTTATGTCTCAAGGCCGTGTTCATGACGTGTCCATCAAACAAACTGAGTGAAACTCATGCATCCAGTGGCGTCAAGGACATATTTTTGTTACTTTTTCTACAGAATGTCACATTTTATTATTAGCCGTTTCAACACATTAATGTTTTACCAAATAAAAAGGACAGCACTTTTAGAGTTTCATTCCCTAATCTGATGTGAGCATAAGTTTTGGGACAATTGAACTTAAAGCAACTGTGAAAGTTTAAAAGCTAATATTTAGTTGCAAATCCCTTGCATGCAATCACAGCAGTGAGTCTGCCACCCATAGACATCACCAGACTCTTGGTTTCATCCATTGAAATGCTTTTAATACAGCCATTTTCAACTGTTGCTTGGTTTGGGGAGTTTCTGCCTTTTAGTCTCCTCTTTAGCTGGTGAAATTAATGTTCAATAGGATTTAAATCTAGAGACTGACTTGGCCAATCTAAGACCTTCCATTTCTTTGCCTTGATAAACTCCTTGACTGAGCTAGCAGGGTGTTTCGGGTCACAGTCCTGTTGCAATATGAAGCACTTTCTGATGAGCCTTGTGGCATTTTCTTGAACATTGGTAGTCAAGATGTTTTTGTACACTTCTGCATTCATTCTGCTGTCACCATCATTCATTAATTCATTTATAAAGTTGAGAGAGCCTGTTCCAGCGGCAGCCAAGCATGCCCAAGCCATGACATCACCTCTACCATGCTTCACAGATGAGGTTGTATGCTTAGGATCATTTACAGGTCCTTTTTTTCTCCACACTTTTGCTTTCCCATCACTTAACAGTGTCCATAAAACTGTTCCAAAATTCTACTGGCTCACCTT